AGAGTAGTAGATCCCTCAAAAGAATACCAAGGAATATCCAATGAGGAAAATCCTCAAGTGTGGAGCTCATGAAGTCAAAGGAAAATAAGATGCCAGGAAGGGAGGACGATGAAAAGGGTCTACTGAGACATAAAGAATAAGCATAATTAACTGTGACTTGTGTCCACTCTCTTTGTTTGTAAGAATCCTGGACAGAATCAGTTTCAGCTGGGCCATGTTACAGGAGAAAGTGAGAGAAAAGTAAATGCAGCTTATCTGAGGTGAGATCAGTCAGGAAAGAGAAGACAGCTAGAGAAGATTTGACATGGGTAAGGGAGCCACTATGAGAAAGAAATGGAGAATTTAATTTTTACTTTTATTTTAAAACCAAGCAAAAAAAAAATAGACTAAATCAGTAAACAAATGTGTGTTTATAGTTAGTTTATGGTTTTCAGGCAAACCACAGCAAGACTTAATGGAATACAACTCAGAGCTTTTATGTTCATCATTTGATGAATTGTGTGGGTCTTGGACTCTGGAGAGCACAGGGCAATGGCTTGACCCTGTCCCATGGTATTTGGGATGTTGCTGGGAAATTTTTAGCAGACTTGCTTGACTCACAGTCTGGGGACTAAAACAGCTGTTTAACAGATCCACTGCCAAATCTGGGAATATGAGAGTTAGGGAAGGAATTGATGTTGGCCTTTGCTCCTCTGTTAAAAGAAAAAAAAAGACTCGGTGGAAACTGTAGGTATGAAGTAGCAGGCTGGGAGAGAGGTGGGATATTTCAAAATAATTTAGAAAAGGAGAGTCACTGATCCCCAGAGTTTTGTTTTGAATGTCTAATCTGTGCAGTTGCATTGTTTACATCAACATACTGTGCCTGGGGAGAGGTAGCTAAGTGATATCCTGAATTCAAAGGAATCAGATTATTCTACAGGCATCTTTGGAAATTTGAGTACTTTCTAGATTTATTTGCATCTGGGGAAAGAAAAGCAATGGTTATGTCACAAACAAAGGAATAAAGAGAAGGTATTTACCTTAGCAAAATGGTAATCAGGGACTCTTCATCACCTGTATCTGTTTCAGGTTTTGTATTATTTAGGTGTGCATAAAGAATCGTTTTCCTCTCTTGAGGAAACATTGTGCTATCATAGTTTTATACCTTAGGCCAAGTCTGTTCTGCTAATATTTGATTTTGAAGCACTGTGTTATAAAGAAGTCTAATAAGAATCAGAGACCTCAGGGAGGGGTCCAGGAAAGACAAACAATTATGGATGTTTGTCCTAGGTGAGAGAAGTTCCTGCTGATGTCGGTCATACTTCCCCTTCTCACCAGCTATTCATTCGCTGTCTCTTGGCTTGACTCTGTCCAATGGTATTTGAGGCGTTTCTGCGAAATCTCAGCAGGTGAGGTTGACCCAGACTCTGGTTAGGGAATCCACTGCCAAAACCAGGGGTATGAAAGTTAGGGAAGGAATCCACACTGGCTTTGCATCCACTTTCTTTCATGGGAGGTACACAGGCTGTTGTTATTATTATTATTATTATTATTATTATTATTAAAACAGTAATAGTAAGAAGGCAAAGCTTTTAATTGCACCATACACTCTTGTTCAATGCCTAAAGGTTGTCTAACAATATGCATTCTGCAGAGAAAGTTTGAGTAGTTACTAAATAATTTTAATACCTTACCTTTCTAGAGTTATTATTTTGACAGGGTTAGAAAAGTGCCCTAAATATGTACTCTAAGTAACCAAATAAAAACTTTATTGAAGTGCATTCTCATTTCAAATCAAGAGCAAATCCACAGAGAGTACTGATTTCTACACATGAGAGAACTGAATTGCTTGTCTAGATACTTGTATAATTACAACTTTGCTAAATTAATTGTCATTTCTTTCTGATGGTTAATTCTTTCAAAAAATAATTGAATAAAATGATTATACTCTTTATTTACACATCTTAATTCCTTTGTTCATCCCTTTCCTTCCCTTTTGTCTCCTCTCCCTCCATCTCTTTATCCTCTTCCCAATGAGAAAAATCTCCCTATTTCTTATTATCTGTCTTTTATTTTGCTTTTTATTTATAATTTGGATTTCTCATGCAAGAGAAACCAGGAGATATTTAAGCTTGTGCGTCTGGTTTATTTCACTTAACATTATGGTCTCAAGGTGCATCCATTTTCTTACAAATGATTAAAATTTATTTTACTTATGGTAGAGTAGTATTCCATTATGTATATATACCACATTTCTTTATCAGTTTTTCTGTTCATGGACTCATAGGCTGCTTCAAGATTTATCTACTATCTCTGATCAAATTTTATCAAAGCTATTTATTGGCCCTATTCATTGGTTCTAAAATTCCTACTTAAAATAAACATATCTTAATTACCTTAATACTGTAACTTTGAGGTTCATTATAGCTGATGGCATGCCATTGATTTACTGAAAGCATTTAACTCAAAAAAGCAATTTTATTTCATAAAACGTTGCATTTACATTCTTCAATGTTGTAAATTCAGAAGGTAAGTCACAAGAAGCAAGAAAATTTTAGCCCATAATTAATTCATACCACAGGGAACTGCTTAAGGAGTGTGCTTCATAGTTTTACCCCAGAGGATTCCTTCATTGCCAGTATCATGTGCATTTCACATTTTATGTGGAGCTTACTGCCTACCAAGATTTTCTGTATTGATAATTTACCCCTACCAGGGAGGAGTAGTATTTCATGAGCTATAGCCCTTACAGCAGAAATTCATTAGGAGATTAATAAAGTAATTACAGTGTCTAAATTCCAGTAGCAAGCACAGGGACACACTTTTACCTAAACAATAATTGAGTCATAAAGTTTAAAGGCTGACTCTGACTAGGAAAATGTTCCATTATTTAAATGATTAAACTAAGATGAGCTTGAATTTAATGAGTCAATCCTACCCTTCAGTTTAAATCATGGGGCAAGACTATTGCACAAGAGAACATGAGGGAGGTCAATAGTTTAGTTATTTCAGTCATAGTTTATATGTCAGGCTGGTACGAAATTTCAGTAAGAAGCACACAGGATTCCAGAATATTCTCTGTCCCTAGCAAAGATGAGATTTTATCTAATCTGATTCTCAAATGCAAACATATAAGAGTAGAAAAATAAATGATTTTAAAATTTAACATATCTCTTCTGAGGTACTCGGATTACTTTGCTTATTTCAAGCTTCCTATGAAATTTCATAAGAGATCTTATCTTGTATTTGGTCACTGCACCATCCCTAATTTTTGTAGTTTACACCCTGGAAAGAGTCCTTAGAATGATATTGTCCTGAAAAATTTTATACTTCTGTTATGGATGAGCGTGTCAGAACTTCTCTTTGTACTGCAAGATTTGACAGAAAAAATGTCTTTGCGACTCGTGATCCTTCAAAGATTGTATGCGATGTTAGTATCTCAAGAATGTAGCTTAATAGATTTGCTTTTGAGGGAATATAGCATAAAAACTGATTTAATAAAATAGTGAAATGTGATGGTCACATCAGTGCAGGCCTTATTACAGATGTATATGCATTAAAATTCCTGGCAAATACAGAACATAAAGTATCTAAGTGTAAATTATAGTCTCAAATCCACAATATTTGCTGATATGACACAAAATTTACATAAAAATATGTTCTCAATACAGAATTAAATTATTTCATTTATAATTATTGCAGGAGGCTAAAACTAACCAATGTGATGGTCAACACCTAGGGAAAATTTCCTTCCACCAACACGGAGTAGACAGAATTAGTAGAAACATAATAAACATAAATGAATAAATTACCGATATTCACAAGAATTGAAATTCTTAAATTGTGCTTAATGTTTTAACCTTTATGTGTATGAGTACATATACATGTATGTGCACACATGCACAAATGATATCAGTGGAGATCTGCATTTTACTTTATCAGTGAAGTTTAAAGTGCATATTCATATCCATTATTACCTACTCATAGTATACAGTATGCATAGTATAGTATGCAGTTCCTCATCATAACCCTTTGCCAACTGTATAAAACATGTCATGTGACAAACATTTTAGAAAATTTTCTGAGAAAAAGATCATTATATATCACCCTTTATATAAGTTAATAATGTTTTATTGAGCTTTAATGATTTTTCATGCTAACAAGCAGAAGAAGAAAAAAATTTTCACTGAAATCCAAGTGACTTTGTATGTTTCAGAATTTTACTTTGTTTTTACTTTGAAGGCACAAGGTGATTGGAGTTGTTTTGTAATAAAATCTTTATGCTTATTTTAGGTAGTGCCCGTATATTTATTAGGAAACCTTATTTTGACAGTTTGATTTGGAAGAAGTTCTACACATCCACATTAGCAAATCACTGGGGGGTGGGGAGTGAGTTTATTGCACAACTTTGAGTTTTCAAAGTAGACTAGAACCTGAACCATCTGAGATCAACCAGAATCATTTTAAGGCACTGGACACCATGATGGGTTTGAACCACAAATGCCTTCTCCGTGAACCCCCCTTTTTTTTAAACAATATTACGTACTTTAATAGGTTAAGCACAAAGGAAATTGCATGGACTCTTAGGTATGAACATCAGAGACATGTTCTCTTCATTCTGTTCTCCTAAAAAACTATAAAGAGCAGATAGATGCTAGAGACAAATGACTCACTGTATTTTCTCAGTGGATTCAGACGAGGGCTTGAAGGCCAGGCTCTGTCAACAAAGAGTCGCCACTGTGGCTTTTTTGTTCACTTATAAATTAAAAAAAATAAAATTAACTTCTCCGTACCTGCGTGAGAAATAGTTAAGGGTCACAAAGGAAAGCCAAAAAACTCCTGGCGTCATTGCCGGGAATTACAGATTTCCCCTTCCCCCAAATAACCATTCCTTTCATTCTTGAGTTAGGTTTAGGCCGGAGGTTTCCGCCGAAAATGACTTCGGCCACAAGGTGGCACTGACCTGCAGACAACCAAGCACAGTGGCACTGACTTTTTTTTAACGCCCTGTGAAATCGCGTCGCCTCCTCGGAGTCCAGGACTCTGGGGATGAAAGCTCACTTTCCTCCGCGTGGCGCGTCCTGTCACGGTGCATGGTTTAGGTTGAGCTGCTTTTCTCTCCACAATTCCGAGGCCACGCGCCCTCGTGGTGACTCCCGGGGGAGGCCGGGGTGAGGAGCTCGGGTGCTCCCGGGGCGCCGTCATGTGATCCCAGGATGAGGTGGAGTTCGGCTTTAAGGGGGCGTCTCTTCCTATCTACACCAATCTTTAGGGTTGGAACAGGGGAAACTGCAGCGGATCTTTGCCGCCCCGCCTGCTCCCTGGCTGGACACCTTTCCCGCTTTAACCCACGAGCCAAAGAGAAGAATTCGGAAGGAGGTGAGTTTCAAGTTTACGCTTTTTAAAGGGACTTTTAGGAAATCTCTCGTCGCCGAGGCGATGGATAAGAGGAAGGGAAAGGATGCAGGTGACTGAAACTGAGTTGGGGCTGGAGCCGGCCCTCTGCCTCGCCCCAGTGCGGGGTGGCCAGGTGCCCGGTGCCCCAGATGGGCTGGCAGGTGTCGGACGCGCCAGACCTGCGGGCAGCTGCGGGTCCCGCGCTGGGGAGCGGGCGGCGGCGCGGCGAGCAGAGCCTTCCCGGAGTCCGCGCGCCCCCGCGCACCGCTGCCGAGGGTCCCCGCAGGGGGCTCCAGGTCCCCTGCCACCGCTCCCTTCCGCCTGGGGGACTGGGAGGTGCGCCCCTCGAGCTTCCCGCGCCGCGCCTTTATTTTACATTTTTCTGGAGCCGGAGTTTTCCTGGAGTGGAGGGCAGGGGCGCGCTGGGAAGGGTGGGCGGCATGGGCGAGCGTCCGCCCTCGCCGCTGCCTCGCGGCCCTCGGGCGCTGGCCCCGGGGGTGGAGGTGCGGGCCGGCCCCGGGGCGCGGAAACCTTACCCCACTTGTCTAGGCTGGGTTTGAGCCCAGATCCCCCTGCGTGCGCTGGGCACTTCGAGTCTGTCCCCGCGCCCTGGCAGATACTCAAGCTCTCAGCTCCTGTTTCGCGGAGTTTTAATCCTCGAACTCTTTAGCTTCTTTTGGAACGGTTAATGATGGATCGCGCTGCATTGGGAATGTAGGGCTGGACTCCCGAAGAACGAGGTTCATCACGGTGTCCGTTGATCCCCGGGTAGAATGGAGAGATGTGCATGTTTTAAAGAGCTGTTGGGCTAAAGCCAGTGAATTGACTTTGGGTGCTTGCTTATTTGGGGTTGGTGTGGCGTTTGCAGTTTTGCCAGTGTCTTGTCATCTCCAATAGGCACGTTTTCTGAGAGATGGACGGTTGCACATGTATGGATAGGGGATGAGGAATAGAAGAGATCCGGGTAATTCACAGTAGAGTAAGATGGGCAGGAACGGAATTATAATCGAATAATCTCATTTCATTCTTTGGTAACTCTCGGAGTCTTAGAGAATGGAAAAAACATAGAGGAGGGGGATATTTCTTTCCATCCTTCTTTCCTTCTCTGTCTCTCTCTGTCTGTCCATCTGTCCCTCTCCCTCTCTCCCTGTCTCTGTCTCTTTCTGTCTGTCTGTCTGTGCCTGTCTCTCGCTGTCTCTTCTCAGTGATTCTCTGTGTCCACCTGGATCCTAGGGAAAATGTAACTTCCCTGATCTGGTCAAGTGCAGAGCTTGCCTGTCAGGACTGGAGCTGGAGAACCTTACCAAGGCCCTCCTCAGGTTTCCTGGTGAACCAAGAGCTAGACCAGAAAGCTGTTGGCCCCTTTCCACACCATCGCTAAAGCCCAACGATGGTTTTTCCGTGTTGGTCTTTCCTTATTGTCTTAAGGCAGCTGTCTATTGGACATACCCTTCCCCTGGGCAGGGAAGGAACAGAGAATTACATAACTCCTTTAGGTAAGCTAACAGTAACTTTGAGAAGTTGTGTGTAACAATACTCACAAGTGTCTTCCAAAACTAAAGAAGCCAACAGTCTTACAGTATTTGAAAAAAATTAATGTCGCAGCAATGTATGGCCAGAGAGCTGTCTTTTCAGACAGGAAGAGCACTGTAAGGAAAGAAGGCCCAGAATTCTTATTGAACCGAAGGATAAGATTTCCCCCAACGATGCTGCATGTAATATTTTGTCTGTGTATATGACAGCTATACTAAAATTTTATAGTATTAAATTTCTGTAATGCCTGTACTTGTAGAGTTTATTTTACAGGTATATATTGGAATAGTAAATACCAAACTGTTTTCTTTTGCCAACATAAGGTATGTAAAGTCTATTACCACTGTTATTTTGTAACAAGTATTCTTCATTGAAGTTATACTAAGATCAATTGAAAAATATATTTTATCTAATGTTAAACTATTTTAGCCGACTAGAATGACTACCAAGCCTGCACTTAACCAAAGAAGCCTGGAAATATATTTTAAAAACTAAAGGTTGCATTTTCTGTACAGTTATGTTGACTTCTACTTAGTGGGAATACCACTATGCCTTGTAAGACACGTCTATCAAATATAACTTCAAAGGTACCACAGTCTCAGTATACTTAACTCAATTTATCTGTAAGAATTCTGTCTTCGTAGCCCATGTAGTGAAATAATTTATCAGGTGTTTTGATGAATGTCTATACTGGTGAAAATAAATCTGTGGATATAAAACTTGTTTTTTTTCCTTTGCACTGTAAAACCCTTGCTCTGTGCCCACATTATCTTCTACCTGGATTTCTGCACTGCCTGCTAATGAATCTCTCTATTTATTCTCTTTGCTTTCTTAAATGTGTTGGAGAAAGCAGCTAGACTAATAATTTTAAAGCAAAAGTTGTAGAACTTTATGCCTTTGCCAAAGCCTCTCCAGTGGCATTTCTTCGAGGTCAGAGGCAGAGCATCCCATTAAAATAAAATCTGCACAGTCTGTGCTGCCGAGTTAGCCTTCCCAATTAACTTCCTGTTAATTTCTCCTGCACTCCTTCTTCTTCTTCCTTGCTGCTTTGCAAATCAGGTATACTCCAGTCTGGGATTTTATAGTTGTTCTTTCCATGCTGGTTGCAATCCATATGCCTTTCCATATGGAAATATCCATGTGACTTCTTCACTCACTACTCTTTAGGTCTTAACTAATACGTTGTCTTCTTAGACTGTCAGAGGCCTCTTCTTACCCAGTAGTACCTTGCAATTCCCAACAATGCCAGGCTTCCTTCCCTGCTTGCTTGTTGTCCATAGAACTTATTGTCACTGTATCTTTCACTTTCTGTTTCTTGGCTTTCTCTGCCCACAATACCAGAAACACAATACAAAGGTCACGGTTCTCTTTACTAAAGCAAAGACCGTCACAAAATAGGTGTTAAATAAATACGTACTGGAGAAATGAATGATCTTTTAGAAACAGTTCGCCTTTCTAACACAAAGTACTATTTTTTTCTTATCTCCCTGGCCTCATAGAATGACTAATGTAATAAACATTCACGTTGTATTTAAAAACTCTGTGATAGAATTCAGCTATTGATGTTAAGATTAATTTAAACAAGAGCTTATTATTCCAACCATGCATCTACTCTGTCCTTGACATCTTTTTATTCTAAATCTAATATTATCAGTGTACTATGAAGTATGAACAGTGCCTACCTTAAAGACATTGGATGGGAGCCAATTAAAAATTCTACTAACCAAGTGGTGCTTTGAGGGATGGATAGGGCAGGGAGAAATGAAGTGTAAATACAGTTATACTTGGTAGACTTGAGTAAATCAGCCTGCTGGGACAGTCTTCACATTGGGGCTGTAAGAGTGCAGAGTGGAAAGAAGACATAACATAAAGATGTTTAAGTGTCAGGATAAGGAAGGACAATAATATATACTACATGTGTCTCAAACCAGCGCTCTCATTTGCCCGGTAAACTTGTTGACAGGCAGCTGCGAGGAGCCATAAGATAATGAGGGCATACACTGCATACACTGTTACTGTCCTACTATTAGCACAAATGAGGAAAAACTCATAACTAATAAGTAATGTTAAACATCTTTGTAGTAATTTCAGTATGAAATACGATACTTTTCTTAATTGCCTAGAGAACAAGGGATTTCAAAAAAACTTTAAAATTATTACCTGTTACAGTGCCAGGCATGATGGCACACGCCTGTAGCCTAGCACTTTGGGAAGCTGAGGGTGGGTACACCCAAGTGTGAGTCCTGTCGGGGCATGTCTCAAAATAAGAAATAAAAAAGGTTGAGGAGTGTAACTCAGTGTGAAGGTCCTAATTGAGTTCAGTCCTCGGGACTATAACAAAACTAAAATAAAAATCATTACCCACTGTTTCAAAGTTTGTTTTCTTACCCGAACTGTCATTACCTGATCGTTCTCTCTGCCTTTTGAATTCCTAAGAGGATGTGGGATTACACCATTACTGTGAGGCTGTCTTTCCAGGCTGTTCCAAAGAGGAAGAGGGAACCCTATTTCTAATGATGTTTCCACTTGAAATGATTCCATTACCATCCCTGAATACTTTTGTTTTGCCTGTTAAAATAACTTTTATTTTATTGTTTTTCAGTTTTATGAGGCCAAAGTGCAGATTTAAAACAGAAAACATCCCATATTCTAGAAAGTAAAAACACTAAGAGAATGGTTTATTAGAAGAATCACTTAGAAGGCAAATGCATTTTTGTCTTTACTAAATTTGTTATTTTCTTTTCAGTGGAGGTAAACTTACACAATTTTCTTTATTGTTCTCGCATAAGGAAGAAAGAAATGCAATTCAGTTTCTTAACACAGCCATGATAGTCTCTTAATTAGCCTAAGAAATCACATCTCATATATCTGTTTAGTAATCTAGAAAACAGAAAATTTTAAAGAGAAGCTTTTAATATCAATAAGGCTATTGTCTGTGATACATCTTGCTCTTAAGACAGAAGTATTTGTCACAAAATGTTGTAAGTCAAAATTACAACTGAAATATATACCCTTGCATTAGATATAGTTTTGTGGGAAGGAAAGATATCTCTAAGGCTCTTAAAAATCTTTTGAATGCATTGGACAAGTTAATAAAAAAAAGTCCTGGAGTCTTTTAAAGGACCCTACACTGTGTGAGATTTCTTCAACTTCCCTATGGTAGATCTCTTGCTACTTTCGTAGACAATTCCATTTAATTAAACTTCTGTTTCTCATAATGATGTGATTTTCTTAAATAATGTGTATCTTTTGGTTCTACTTCTACCTCGTATGGTTCAACATAATATTCTAAGCCAGAATCACACATTCCAAAGACCACATATTAAAATATGGGGACAATATCTCTACCATTCTAAATATTTGTTAGATAAAACACTAACTTTATCTTCCCACATTCCCTTCTATGGCAAAGTTTTTCTGACATTTTTCCCGAATTCTCCCTTTGAATATACTTGTGCTAAATAATGTCTGTGTTAAAAAAACATTCCACTATACGGTGAGTTATTCTTACAACTTGACTTCTACTTTATTTTACGATTTACATAGTTTAATGAAAAATTATGTATATGTTATTATTTTGCTTTGTTTTTTATGTTTTATACTATTATCTGTGCATTAAGTTGTTACACACTCACATTTGTATACTATTTAAGATTGTCCTGATGTGCTGTCTGTGTAAGATTTTGGAAGGTGTGAGACATTCATGCACACTGTACTAAAGCATAGGTCACTGAAACTGGATGTGTCATCAAATCTAATTGAAAATACTTCAGGAGGTTTAAAATTCAAAATGTTTGCATGATTCTTCCATTTTAAAAAGACATTTACAAGATTATATTTTATTTACTGACTTCAGTGTCTTCACTTAAAGAGTTCTACACATCAAAATTTATTTTGACTGCCCTTAGTAAAATTAGTAACAGAATTGGTCATTTTTTCTTTATAGGTTATTCAGTTCATGTGGATGAAGAACGCAGAGTAATTGTGGTAAATGGATTCCAATAAGGGAAAGAAGGATAACCCGAACAGTTAAAATGCTTTGAAGAAGCATATTGTGCATTTGTCTAATCTATTACAACAAAACCGATCAAAATGAATTCAACGTCATTTTCTCAGCTTGAAAACCATTCAGTTCACTATAACTTGTCAGAGGAGAAGCCCTCATTTTTTGCATTTGAAAATGATGATTGTCATCTGCCGTTGGCTGTGATATTTACCTTAGCTCTCGCTTATGGAGCCGTGATCATTCTTGGGGTCTCTGGAAACCTGGCTTTGATCTTAATCATCTTAAAACAAAAGGAGATGAGAAATGTCACCAACATCCTGATCGTGAACCTGTCCTTCTCAGACTTGCTCGTTGCCATCATGTGTCTCCCCTTCACATTTGTCTACACACTAATGGACCACTGGATCTTTGGTGAGATCATGTGCAAGCTGAATCCTTTTGTGCAGTGCGTTTCGATCACCGTGTCCATTTTCTCTCTGGTTCTCATTGCTGTGGAACGACATCAGCTGATCATCAACCCGCGAGGGTGGAGACCAAATAACAGACACGCTTACATAGGTATTGCTGTCATTTGGGTTCTTGCTGTGGCTTCCTCTCTGCCCTTCATGATCTATCAAGTGCTGACTGACGAGCCGTTCCAAAATGTAACGCTGGATGCATTCAAAGACAAGTTGGTCTGCTTTGATCAGTTCCCGTCGGATTCCCACCGGTTGTCCTACACTACTCTTCTCTTGGTGCTGCAATACTTTGGTCCACTCTGCTTTATATTCATATGCTACTTTAAGGTAAGAAAACCTTGTCTCCCTATTATTTGCCTGTTTACCTTCTTTCTGCAGAATCCCTCATTAAACAAGCGGTTCTATTTGAATACATTTTCTTTTTATATATAGATCTACATTCGCTTAAAAAGGAGAAACAACATGATGGACAAGATGAGAGACAGTAAGTACAGGTCCAGTGAAAGCAAAAGAATCAACATCATGCTGCTGTCCATTGTGGTAGCCTTTGCGGTCTGCTGGCTGCCTCTTACCATCTTTAACACTGTGTTCGATTGGAATCACCAGATCATTGCCACGTGCAACCACAATCTCTTGTTCCTGCTGTGCCACCTCACGGCAATGATATCCACTTGTGTCAACCCCATATTTTATGGATTCCTGAACAAAAACTTTCAGAGAGACCTGCAGTTCTTCTTTAACTTCTGTGATTTCCGATCTCGGGATGATGACTATGAGACAATAGCCATGTCGACCATGCACACGGATGTGTCAAAGACTTCTTTGAAGCAAGCAAGCCCACTTGCATTTAAAAAAATCAGCTGTGTTGAGAATGAGAAAATCTGAAAGTGCTTGGAGCACATAGTCTCTTTAAAAGCAAGTACACCCTGCCATATTTTTGTCAACTGTTCTCCCATGGAATGGATTGAAATCATTTGAGAAAGACCAGGAGTTTCTTGTCTTGCCTTTCACTGCTTTTGTCATAGTTGTCATTATTATATTTGGAACAAAATGTGTGGGGTTTGGAATCTTCTGGCAATAGTTTTAACCAGATTTCCTTGAAGTGCTTTTTATGAAATTATGCATATAACATAAAGACTTTGAGACTGTATTTATATGAAAGAAATTTCTTGGGAGTATTACTGTAAACTGACTTCAGAAGCACTAGCCCCCTTAAACTCACATTACACTGGGCCATCTTGATTAGATTCGTGTGTCATTACATTAGGCCACCCTCATTAATGAGAGGCACCATTTTAGTCTGTTGTAGAATTGATGGCATGAAAATGCTACAGTAAGAGTATAGAACTCAAAGAGAGTCTGAAGATTTTCCAGAATGGTTTTCCTTTTTTTTTTCCTATTGTTAATATAGGACTTGATTTTCTTCTAATTGGGTGTCATTTAAGATACAAATGTATAAAAATACTTCTCAGTTGTGAATAATGTGGGGAATTAGACTACCTAAAGAATGAAGTGGGAAGTCAGTTCCCTGATTTCCAGACTATTTTGAAACCTGACAACCAAAGCATTTCAGAGTAATTAGTTTAGCAAATGAAGTAGACCTGCTGCAAAGGAAGTATATTCATCTGAATTGACAGTCAAGAAGTTTCCCAGCCTTTACAGACTGTTCAGTGTTTGTCAAGCTTTCTCACACCACCATGTACTTTGAAAGGCGTTTTCAGCTTTACAATATGTAGAAATGCAAAATGTATTTCCTTTACTGGAGTGCCTACCTTAGGAAATTATTTTTCACTTTCACTGACCATCTTTCAAAGCAAACAATACCAAGGGACAGTGTTTTAAAAAATGTTCACTGCAGCTAGCAGGCATAAATACCTAAAAACGTCCTGTAGCTCATGTTACTTTGTATAAACTGTGTGACTTGTGGAATTTTATAAACCATGCACTATATAGAGTACTGAGAAATTGTGCTATGTGAATATACTTAATTTCATGTATCTTGTAATCATGATTGAGCCTAATGTTTTTGAGAAAAGACATTTTAAAGAACAAGACACATCTTGAATGTACTATACAAAGTATTAAATGTGTTTGATTTCAGAAGGGCAAGCACTTTCTTCATTAAAAAGTTGTTTTTGCTTTTTCTGAGGAGTCTGTAATGTGTCTTTCTTTGGCTTCATTTTTATTTTCCATTTCCTTCCCTCCCACGATGTCCGATTGCATCCGTATCACCTCGCTAATGACACATTTTCTACTCTGTTGTATATCTAATGATGGACCAGTCACCCTGTCTTGCTGCTTGAGAGCTTCTAGGACTCTCCCCAGTGCATGTAGCACAGTGCCAACTATTTAGAGGTTTTCCAAAAAATACTTCTAGAACAAACAAACAAATAAATAATGAATAAATGTTCTTCTTTTCATCTCATTTATGCTCACATTAAATTCACATCTTGGGTTCTTCTTGCTAAGTGACTATTTAATGAGAAAGTTTCTTTTGTACCATAATATTTTCCTTCCTCACTGAAGCAAAGAGGACATATTAGACTTTTGGGAATTTGCTTCATTGACCTCATAAATCAAACAAACATCAAACATTTTACAAACAAACTTTTGACTTTTAATAAATTAAATTATAGTGTAAGAGTGTCCTAAAATTAACTTTTAATCCTTACTGGAGATTCTTTTACTTTTTTTACTTGAGACTCTTAACTACTTCATATTTTTCTATTTTCTGGCACTAATAGGAAATTCTTTCCTCCCTAGGTGTCACAGAAACAAATTGCTACTTAGGAAGAGTGCTAATATGTGGCTTTGTCGGCGCATCTGCTGTGATGACCATTTCAAGATTTCTCATTTAGCTATATGTGCTGTTGACTTCTTAAAATCTATATAAATAATGAACTATCAAATTATACTGAATATCAAATACTTCTATTTTATCCAAAAACTCTGGTGAGCTAAAAGTCTAGTTTCAGCACCAATGCTTTATAGAGTTTAAAAAGAATAAATAACCATATTAAATAGAAGCTAGGCTGAGGATTTAGCTCAGTGGCAAAGCACCTCCTGGCAAGCTTGAGGGACCCAAAGTTGAAGCTGAAATGTTCACCTGAGCTACAGATTATTGTGTTGAGGAGGAATCAAGTTCAACTTTTTCCAGTGCTGCTGAGCTAATAATAGAGCTATACTTACGATATGGTCTTCTGAAATACTTTTTCTATCCCTTTACAAGCCACATAGTGTGTAGCAGTATGGAAAAGAAATGGAATCATGTAGAACAGCTGAGAGAAAATGGTCAGGACGGTTACATTCCTCCCTCACAATCCCCTTCTGAATTAGAGAATTTCATTTAAAAGTAGACTTTGGTTACTCACATTAGTTTTATTTCTTTACTGTTCATTAAATAGTATCAACCTCTTTTCTATTCAACAAATTCCCGAAAGTACATATTATACAGTAATTTAAATTTGATGGCTAAACAAATTAGATACTTTGTCAGTGGACATACTTGTCCACATACAATAAACCTAGGAAACCTAGGAAAGAGAGGCAAGTTTAAACTGAGGTTCTGGGGATAAATCTAGTTTTGTGGCATAGTTGCAGTTTAGTGAGGTTACTGGCAGCACTAATCCTCATAGCCAGGATTAGTTAACAAGGATTCTTCTAGAATTAAGGTAGTTTCTTAGTGAAACTTGAACTTTTTTCAGTCTCCATATTTTCTTTAACTACTTATTTCTGGAATCCTTAACATTTTTGACTTAAGTATTAGAGTCATAACCTAATTCCCCAGGTTTTATTTGTGAGTTGATTCCTGTATTATTAATATATGTGTTAGAAGCTCAACACATTCTCTTTTTGTATGGATTTGTGCATACAGTATAAATCTTCAATGAGTTTATTTCTCATTTTTATTCATTATTTCCTATAAAAGCTCTCAGGTAGACATCACTTATCACAAACTACCCTAAAACATAGTACTGCTTTTCTCATTTTCTCATAAAGAAATAGAGGGAGGAGAGATTGTACAATGTACCCAAAGTCACTCAACTATCAAACCAGAGAACCAGGATTCGAATTCAACTAACTTGGTGTTACGGATTAAAAACTGGTGATCAATTTAACACCAGCTGAATTAAATCAGTATGGTGCTGAGTGTAGATGGTCCACTCGAAGAAAGTTGCCAGCATAAATAGAGATGTGGAGAAGATGAGTGAGGCATTCTGGGTTTCTCTAAGTGTTGCTGTTTGAGCCATTGGTTCTCCTGGCGGAGCTCATCATGGTTAGCTTCCCCAGTGTCAGTTCAACTATTGTCATCAGAAGAGCTCAACATCTTGTTGGTGAGAGTGACTGTAGTTCACTTTGGGGCAGCTCTGGTCCTTACATGGAACAGGGCTTCCTGGCTCTGGAGGGGAAGGTGTGCAGCTTAATCTCCAGGATAAACTCGTCATGCCGGCTTTCTAGCATGTTCTTGACTGTTCTTATCATCCTTGAGGATGGCTGTGGTACTTTTCAGGACAGCCCTGGTCTTTATTATGAGCGCAATCTCTGGGCTCCAGTGTAGAACCTTCAACCTACCAGCACAGCTCCTTCACCCTACTGGCATAGACTTTCTATCTTCCACTACTGACCTTTGGGCCTTCCCAGTGCAGATCCCTAAAACAGAGTGGCATGAGTCCTTGTGAGCTCTAGATCTCCAGTTGGAGTGCATTGTCATGGGCTCTAGGTTTTCATCTGGACTTATGCAGGACATTGTTAGCGTTCTGGGAAGATTTCCTATACTTTCTTATGTTAAACCTTGGATGACCATCATAAAATAATATTATAAATTCTGTGCCCTGAGAACAGTTGTTCTCCTCACAACTCGCCTACAGCACTTGGTTTCCAAGTCATAGTGGAACAGAAGCTGCCCTCAGCGCACTCTGAAAGCTGTTCCCCCATGCCAGCCTCTTCCAGTATCCCACCAGCTCTGTGTCTCCTGCCTTACCATACTGGACCACTCATGTGCACATCTGCAGTTCATGTCTTCTCCAATTCTGGTCATCTCAGAAAACTTAAAATATAGATATTTTTCAAAGCTGTCCTCTGAGATCTAAGATTAACTCTTAATCACAGTGATTTAGGCACAGAATTGAACTCAAATCTGTTTTACCCGAGGATTATCACTAAAGCTGATTTTTATTTTCCACTGGTCTCTTATTGCCTCTGTCCTCTTGATTTTCAAAATCTTTAATCTTTCCAGCTTCCTACAAAATGCCTGAAGTCATCTTCTGGGAATGTTTTCTCCATAAGTGGTTGGGCTTTGAAATCTGATTAGTTTTTATCAACTGACTTCTTTAGAGACTGGGTTATATCTCAACATGATCTGTATTTCAGCGCACAGACTAGAGACATGGTATATATGAATATGGGTTTAGAAAATGAATTGTGGGGGCTGGGGATTTAGCTCAGCGGCATAAGCGCCTAACTTGGCAAGCAGGCAAGTCGTGAGTTCGATCCCTGGTACCGATAAAAAGAAAAAACACACACACACACAAAAAAGAAAACGAATTGTGCCCAACTGACTGCTAAATGTTTAATCCTAATAGATAACAAAAAAGTTACCAGTTAAAATTTTGACCAAGAGTGAACAATATTACATTCAAAACAAGAGATGTACTGAAGAAAATGACACTGCCTACCCTTCAGTTTATCGTCAGCCTTGGAAATTCCTAGCCATCCAGACTTCCAGCCAATCTTTTCTATTATTTTATTACTGAGAAATACTTGATATAAAAGTCACTTTTTAAAAGTATGCAACGTGATGGTGTTAGTCTATTTAGAGGGTGTTCCTACCACAATTCCTACCTAATCTCACAGTATTTGTATAGCTCCAAAAAGAAACTCCAACACCCAGTAATCCTCCAGCATGTAAAAGGTCTGGGCGTGGTCACTCTGTTCCTGAAAAAATATTTTAAAAAACTAAACAAGACCCAGAAAAAAACAGCTCTTTACAGATCGTTCAGAGAAGTCACAAGGGAAAACTGTCGCTTCTGAACAGAGGAGAGGGCCAATGCCCAGAAACAACTCGCAAGAATAAAATCCCATTTGAAAGGTTTTCCTGCTTCCCAATCTCTCTCCTCTTTTGTGCTCCTCCTTTACTCTTTTTTGGGATTCTCATGCAAGAGAAATAATGACATAGTTACACTTGTGAGTCTGATTTATTCCACTTAAGATTATGGTCTCGAAGCACCTCCATTTTCCTACAAATAATTCAAGGAGAGAGAAATGAAAAGGAAGGGAAAAGAAAAAGAGAATGAAAGAAAAAAAATGAAAACAAAGCTTGTATGACTCAAGACAGTTGAAGAGAAGGGAGCAGAATGAGGAAAAAGGAGTTGTGATGTGATATATCCACGTATCACAAGATTCCTATGATGCATGTGACCAATATATATGATAAATATGTAGCAATGAAAAGAATACAGTTAAAAAGAAAAAGAGTAAACCCCCCTAAATGACACTCCATGGACAAATGGTGAATTAGAAACTCCATCAGGAGCCAATCGTAATCGGGCTCCACACATTTTTTAGTTTTAACTCCTGAAATTCAACAAAGTTATGTCAGAAACTAACAGAAATTAAAACAAGCAAACAAAAAAACAGTCCGCTAGTGCTTCTGGTAGGCAAGTGAGAAGAAATAATTTTTAAATAGGCTGCATGTTCTGTTCTTTACCAAAGCCTTGATCTTCAGAGGAACTGTTTTACTAGAGCAGTGGCAGCAAACCTATGTGCCACAACTGGCTGTTTGCACCATTGAAAGTGCTAAAAGATTCACTGATGGAGACCACTATGAAGTGGCTCTGAGCAGGATTTAAAGTTACTAATTAGCTGTCTATGTTTATCTGTGAGTCCCAGGCCTAGGCCCCCTGTCTGGAGATGGGCAGCAGATTCATAGTAAATGAACCTCTGTGAATCACTGTTTCTGGCTGAGACCCGTAGAGGCCTGTGATGCCAGAGACATCTCAAAGGGTGAGATAAGGCCACAGTGGAGGACGCCTTGTTCCAATCCCAATTAAGTAGAGACTGCAGCTGCAGGGATCTCATGTCTGCTGTCTCATTCTCACCATAAATGCATCATGGAGATAAGGCAGTTCTCCTACATCAGCATAATT